TGGTGAGGTGATTTTCCTGGATGCAGCAAATTATTGGGTCATGGTTTTTTATCCCATTTGCCATTCTATGTCTTTTCAGAGGTGTATTTAGTCTGTTCATGTTCAGGCTGATTATTGATATGTGATTGTTTATCCCCATCATGAAGTTCTTATAAAGTTTTTTCTTTGTTTTCTTTTAGCTTTTGGATTGTTGTATGTGTGTGTTTTCAAGTTTTGCAGTCACGATGTGTTCTCCGTTGATTCTGTGTTTTGCTGTTTTCGGGAAGTGTGTGGTCATTCTTTTTCTTCTTTCCTCTGTGCTTAATAACTTTTTAAGTATCTTCTGTAGAGCTGGTCTGGAAGCTGCATAATATTTTATGGATTGGATGTCAGGGTAGAATTTTAATTCTCCATTGCTGACAAAGCTCATCTTGGCTGGGTAGAAAATTCTTGCTTCAAGTTGTTTATCTTTGAGAACTTTGAATATTGGATTTCAGTACCTTCTAACTTGTTGTTTTTCTGCTGATAAATCTGCTGCTATTCTGATTGGTTTTCCCCAGTAGGTAGTCCGACCTTTCTCTCTTGCTGCCTTTAGGATTTTTTCTTCTGTCCTACTTTGTGTAGGCAAATGACCATGTGTCTAGGGGTTGGTCTTCTCATTTGATGTCTTTCAGGGGTTCTTTGTATCTCTTGTGTTTGGATGGTCACATCTCTGGAATACTTGCTCCAAGGTTTTCTCTTCCTTTCCCTTTCTTCTTCTGGGATACCAATCAGTCATAGGTTTGGCTTCTTGATATAATTGCACATCTCTTGTAGGCTTTGTTCTTTCTTTCTGAGTTTTCTTTCTATGTTTTTTACAGATCAGGTTAAATCCATGTTTTGGCCTTCAAGTTCTGTGATTCTTTCTTCTGCTTGATTAATTCTGCTTTTCATGCTTGTTATCTTGTTATTTATTTCCTGTATGAAGTTTTTTTATGGCCAAAATCTCTGTTACAAGTTCTTTCAGTGTTGCATCTTGCCTTTCTTGAGTCTTATTCACTTTTTCCATTCATTCCCTAATCCCTATTGTATTCTGGGGACAGTCATTGGTGACTTCCATTGTTTGGGCTCTGATGTCTGATTTTTTCAGGAATTTTCTCTTTGTTACACTGGGAATTACCTGTGTATCTTTGAGTTTTCCTCATTTGTGATAGCTCTCTTTCTTTTCTCTTTAGTTCCGTTATTCAATGGCAGTGGGAGTGGCTTTCATTTCTGATGTTTGCTCAGCCCTCTATTCTTCCCTGATCATGGCTCTGAATTTGTTCTATTTTGAAACAGGGTTGTGGGTGGGAGGCTTTGCTGTCTCTTGTAGTTTTGAGAGTCAAATAAGGTAGAGGATGGGGAGTTCTGGCTACTTGAAAGGCTGAGGTGGAAGGATTGCCTGAGCCCAGCAGGTTGACATTGGGGTGGCCATGAGCGTGCCACTGCACTCCAACCTGGGTGATGGAGTGAGACTCCAACTCAAAAAAAACACAAAAAACAAAAAACTCTAGGTTTATGTTTTTTCCAAATTTTGGAACTTTTAGACATTATTTCTTTTTTATTTTAGAATTGTGGAGTGCATGTGAGAATTTACTATGTAAGTATATTACATGAAGATGAGGTTTGGTCTCCTAACAAGGCCTCCCCCCACCTAAGATGGAGATGATTCCCAATGTGTGGTTTGATGTCTCTTAGCTCCCTTCTCTCCCTCCTTTAGCAGTGCTCAGCATCTTCTGGTCACATCCTTTTGCCTGTGTGCTCAAAGTTTAGTGCCCACTTATGAGTGAGAACATTCTATATTCAGATTTTTGTTTCTGTGATATTTCACATAGAATGATGGTCTCCAGCTGTATCCATGTTGCTGAAAAGGAGGTGATTTTGTTCTTTATGGATGTGTAGTATTCCATCTTTCATATATATATATATGTATATATAAATGTACATAAGAAGTAGTATTCCATCATATATATATATATGTACATATATAAGAAAATGTATCACATACTACCTTTGATGATGAGCATCTTGGTTGGTTCCATGTTTTTGTTACTCTGAATAAAGCTGCAATAAACATATACATGCAGGTGTCTTTTTGGTAGAGCAATCTGTGTTCCTTTGGGTATATTCCCAGGAGTGGGCTTGCTAGGTTGAAAGGGTAACTCTATTTTTAGTTCTTTGAGATAGCTCCAAATTCTTTCCATAAAGGTTAAATAAACTAGCTTAAATCCCCACCAACAGTGTATATGCGTTCCCTTTTCTCCACAGCATCATCAACATCTGTTGTTTTTTGACTTTTTAATGATAGTCAACCAGACTTGTGTGAGATGGTATCTCATTGCAGTTTCGGTTTGCGTTTTTCTAATGATTAGTGATGTTGAGCATTTTTTCATATTTGTTGGCTGCTTGTATGCCTTCCTTTGAGAAGTGTTTGTTTGCATCCTTTGCTCACTTTTTAATAGGTTATTTGGTTTATTTTTCCTGTCAATTCGTTTGAGTTTCTTATAGATATTGGATGTTAGGACTTTGTCCAATGCATAGCTTGCAAATATTTTTTCCCATTCTGGGGGTTAGACGTTAGACATTACTTCTTTGAATATTTGTTCTACTTCACCTTTCTTCTTTTCTAGGATTCTGATGATACAAATGTTACATTTTTTTATTGTGATTCCACAGGTCATTGAGTCTCTTGTTGTTCAGATTGTGTAATTTATACTTTTTTCTTTTCTTTTCTTTCCTTTTCTTTTGATTCAGAGTCTCACTCTGTTGCCCAGGCTGGAGTGCAGTGGCACACTCACAGCCATCACAGCCTCAACCTGCTGGGCTCAGGCTGTAAGGCTAGTATGGAGAAAAAGAGAATGAGCCGGGTAGTCAGGCAAAGAAAAGGAAATCTATTAAAGGGAAACAAGAGGGAGACTTGTCCTAGAGAAGAACCAGCCCCTTGTTTTTTTTGTGGGTCCCTCTTATACCCCGTAGTTGAAGTCTGGTGGTCACGTAGTACACGTAGTTCTGAGAAAGCAGGTGTTGGTGGTCATGTAGCCTGGAGATGTAACCTTGAGGAAGCAGGCTGGTGCTGGTAGTTATGCAGCCTTGAAACATAACCTTGGGGAAGCAGGTGCCAGCAGCGAAAACAGGACTTCGCTTAAGCAATGCAAGGTTAGCACAATGAGTCATTTTAACAATGCCCCCGCCCCACCATGTAAGCCCTATCATTCCAGGCTTTTTATTTAGGATAGAGCCAAAGATCAATTTTATGTAACTGCTTTGTGCTGGACAGGGACATTGTGGAGTGTGACAGTAAAGGGCTGGAATGTAGGTTAAGGGGGTTTGTGTGGGCGTGAAGCTTTTGATAATTGAATGGATTAGAAGTAGTTCATGGATAGTGTGGTTAGTGAAGGCTTATAAGTGGTCCTGAAGAAATTTTGAAAAAATAAAAACAATGCATTAAACATGTACTGAAAGTAAGAATGAGAGTAAGTGGAAGGAAAGGGCAGGAACCATGTCATCCAGTTCCAGTTGTTTAGCCAGTTTTTCCATGAATTGCTTAGGTGCTGACCTATCCTTGAGGCCCTGTTTGTCAGACTTCTTGCTGCTTCCATTACAATGCCTGACTTATTGGTCTAGAAGCAGCAGGCTTCTCCTAAAAATAGACAATAAGCCTCCTTCTTCTGCCATGAGGAGGTCTAACCCTCTTCTTTGGAGAATCATGACTGCCAGGGAATTTAGCTGGTTCTGGAGAGTGACAAGGCTAGTAGCTATTTCTTCTATGCTCTCAGTAAGGTTTTTTTAAAGTCTTTGATAGTAATTTAAAGAGGTTGTGAGTTCTGCAGCCCCTGTTTCAATCCCAGCCGTTATTTTTAAACCTATCAATAGGGGAATGAATTGAATTATCCGTTTGGGTCAGTTGTGGATTAGTGGGATAGGGAGGGTTTGATTGTTAGGAGAAATAGTGATATCTGGGGCTAGATATACCAAGGTTTATGTTTTTGTCCAGTTAGTGGGAAGACATAAATAGGTGGTGGTTTCACATAAGAAAAATAATCCAGGAATAAAGAGACAAGAGGTGAAATCGATAGCAAATAGAAGTCTTTCTGGGAATTTGTTGGCAGTTTCCCAAACTGACAGAGAGCGTACCAGTGTGGCCCCTACAAGAGGAGTATTTATGTTATATGTAAAAGGAGGTTTTCCTGAGAAAGTGAGAGAGTGTCCCGCAGTTCCTGAGACGTTTATAGATGAATCGGTCTGAAGGAAAAGAGAGATGTGAAATGTAGTTACAGAGATGTGGGGGCATAATTCCTAGCCGGGGGTGGGAATTGTTTATAGAGTTTTGAATAGGTTTTATGGCTTCCTGCGTGAGACTGAGGAGCAGATAAGGCAAGAGTGAGTGATTTGCTGTAGGAGGGAAAGAAGGTTAGGATAGGTGATAAGAGGTTTTAAGCGGTGATAAAGAGGTTTAGTGCCTACGTGTAGGGCTTGATGAATGTCCATAAGAATTTATGTGGCCTGAGATTGGGGAAGGACATAGTGGCCCTGTTTTTGTAACCAGTCCTTTTGTGGTTGTGCTCCCTCCTGTAATAATTGTGCTTTTTCTTTGGGAAGGTAAAGGAGTTTTATGTTGGGAATTATTATAAGTTGTTGGGTAGGTGATTGGAGTGAGGCCTGTTTTGCTTCCCTCTCTGCGGCATTGTTGCCCTGTGAAATGAGGTTTGAGGCTCCTGATGACCCCGGCAATTTATGATGCTTACTTTAGTTGGCATTTTAGCTACCTTCAAAAGTTGGAGTATAAGAGTTATGGGAGAGCCCTAGCAGATCGGATCCTTCGTTCCTTCCAGATAGCAGCATGTGAATGTATGATGTGGAACATATATTTAGAACTAGTGTATATGTTTGCTTTCTTGTTAGCTGCTAAGGTAAGTGCCCTGGTTAGTGCAATAAGCTCTGCCTTTTGAGAAGAGGTTCCTGAAGGGAGAGGTTAGGGTTTAATAACTTTATTGTTAGAGACAATGGCATATCCAGCTATTTTCTTTTCTTTGGATGTTGTAGAGGATCTGCCATCAATGTACCAGGTAAAATCAGGATTATTTAATGGGGTAGAGGAAATATGGGAGAAATGGGGTATTATGTCCTCTAATGCCTCTTTGCAAGTATGGATGGGAGGCTCAGAAGAATTAGGGATGAGGGTGGCGGGGTTGAGAGTAGGACAGCGTTTAAAGGAGAACTCAGGAGATTTGAGAAGAGTGGCATGAATTAGTTGGATACGTGAAGGAGATTGGCTTACCTGCCACTGTAAGAGTTACCCTGGGCTCAGTAGAGGTAATGGGAGTTGGTGTCTGGAGTCTTGGGCACCTTCAGTCTTCAGCAGTGAGTCTAAGGAGGCTGGGAAGAGCTGCATTGGATGACTCCTGTTGGGGACCAGGAGAAGATGTCCGGATCCCTAGAGGGAGATTTGGGCACTCGACCTTCCAATGTCCCTTTTTGCCACAGTTGGGACATGGACCTGGGGGGTCCTTGGCTGTGGGCATGAGCAGGCCCAGTGGCCTTTCTTGCCACACTTGAAGCAGGGCCTAGGTGGCCTTTTGTCTTTGTTGGCTGATGGAGGTTTGAAGCCATGTAGGGCAGTGGCTAGGAGGTGGTATTTGGCCTGATCTCATTGAGCCTTTTTTAGCTTTGCCTGTTTTTCCTGGTTATTGAAAATTTTTAAAACCAAATTTAAAACGTCTTGTTGAGGGGTTTGAGGGCTCCCCTCTGTCTTTTTTAGTTTTTTTTTTTTTGGATGTCAGGGGACAATTGGGAAATAAAATGGGTGTTAAGGACAACAGTGCCCTCTGTTGAAGTGGGATTTAATTTTGTATATTTTTGTAGGGCTTTTGTTAATCTGTCTAGAAATTGTGTCAGGTTTTTGTCTGGTATTTGAGTTATTTCCCGGAGCTTGTCAAAGTTGACAACCTTATATCCTGCCTTTTGAAGACCCACAATGAAGCAAGCAACCATATGATTTTGGGCTTCCCATCCAGGTCTGTGTGCCTGATAATTCCAGTTGGGATCCTCTCGGGGAACAGCTGTTGCCCCTATGGGCTTAGTGTTGTAGGACCTGTGTATTTCATCAGCATGTGCCTAAGAGGTTTGTCACACTTGTTTCTCCCCGCCCCCACTGGAAAAGGGTAGAGGAAAGTATAATGTAAATATTATGCCAGATTAAGTTGTAAGACTGGGTAAGATATTTAAATTCTTTTAGATAGTTATCAGGGTCTGAGGAGAAGGAGCTGAGATGCTTTTAGATTTGGGATAGATTGGAGAGAGAGAATGGGATGTGAACTCGAACAATGCCTTCTACTTTAGCTACCCGTAAAGCGGGGAGAGGAGCAGGGAGAGGAGCCGTGTCCTGTTATGAAGTTTCCTGCTTTAAGGTTGCTTGAGACCAGGTATGGGGAGGGGATCTAGGGAGATCGGGGTAGAGCCTTGGAACTCTCAGAGTAGAGGGTGGGTTTGAGGTTTTGGAGCTTGCTTCTGGAACAGGTATAGAAGGAGGGTCAGGTTGAGAGGGGATGTAAGGTAGAGGTTGTGGAGCTGGATCTGGGATAGCTGCAATGGAATTGGAAGCGATGGAGGGTAGACTGTGATCAGAAGAGTTGAAGGAAGATGGAGAAAAGTCTGAACAGGGATCGGGAGGTGTTGTGTTAGGAGCAGAGTGGGCTAGGAGTATTTGAGAAGTAGAGCAAGATTTACAGAGAGAGGGTTGAGAGCGAAGAGCAAAGAAAGCCTGAACATAAGGAATTTCTGATCACTTGCCATTGCAGTGGCAGAGGTTATCAAAGTTCCGTAGAGTTTTATAATGGAGAGCTCCATTTTCTGGCCACTGGTACCCATTATCAAGTCTGTATTGTGGTCAGACAGCATTACAATAGCAAATAAGGGTTTTTTGTTGTTGTTTAATTTCCCCTTGGAAACCTAGGACCTTTAGGTTTTGGAGGAGGCATCCTAGAGGAGTAGATTTTGAAGGTTGAGACTGAGAATTTCCCATTTTGGCTGAATAGGGAGGGTAGACGAGTGAGGAAAAGTGAGGAGATAGATCTGAGAGAAAAGGCATCCCTGTTCTCAAGGCTTTCTCAGAGAGCAATAATGGTCTGCCTTGGAACAATGGGCATCCCCTATCCCAAGACCAGATTGGATGGGCACAAAGCCAGGGGCCTGAGGGCTGTGGGGGATCCTCCTGCTTAGCACTAGATCTTAGAAATGAGGAGAGAGAGAGAGAGAGAGAGAGAGATTACACTCACCCTTGTAACTGATGGATGAAATGTGAGCTGGTGTGTGGATGTTAATCCAGCAAAGCAAGTGGAGCTCAGCTCATTTAAGGGAGGGAACCACAGGAGATGGACTCATAAGAGGAACCCGCTCAGTTGCAGTGGTTTTTTCCTTGGTAAGGCTTGCTGAAAAGGAGCACATACTCTCTGTTAGCCAGAGAGATTCCAAGGTGTGTCCTTACAGCAGATTCAGGAGGGGTGGCTAGGAAGCGGATCAAGCCCAGAGAGGGGGAGGGAGGGAGGAAGGAGAGAGAGAGGTGATCCAGCGAGTCCAGTCAGGCACCTCTCCTGGGTTTCGGCGAGTGCAGAGAAAGAGAATGAGCTGGGTAGTCAGGCAAAGAAAAGGAAATCTATTAAAGGGAAACGAGAGGGAGACTGGTCTTAGAGAAGAACCAGCCCCTTGCTCTTTTTGTGGGTACCTCTTATACCCCGTAGCTGAAGTCTGGTGGTCATGTAGTACACGTAGTTCTGAGGAAGCAGGTGTTGGTGGTTACATAGCCTTGAGACCACCTTGAGGAAGCAGGCTGGTGCTGGTGGTTACGCAGCCTTGAGACGTAACCTTGAGGAAGCAGGTGCCAGCCCCGAAAACAGGACTTCGCTTAAGCAATGCAAGGTTAGCACAATGAGTCATTTTAACAATGCCCCCCGCCCCATGTAAGCCCCATCACAAGTGATTCTTCCACCTCAGCCTTCCAATTAGCTGGAGCTACAGGCATGCGCTACCACACCTGGTTATTTTTTTATTTATTGTAGAGATGAGATCTTGCCAAGTTGCTCAGGCTGGTCTCAAACCCCTGAACTCATGCAGTCCTCTTGCTTTGGCCGCCCACAGTGCTGGGATTACAGGCTTGAGTCCCTGCGCCAGGCTCTTTTCTTTTCTTTTTGAAGAGACACTCTGTCTGGAGGGCAGGCACTCCACCCACGCTGGAGTGCAGTGGCATGATCATAGCCCACTGCAACCTCAAACTCCTGGATTCCAGAGACCCTCCCATCTCAGTCTTCTGAGTGTCTGGCATTACAGGCATGAGCCATCATACCTGGCTCAATTTTAAAATTCACTGATTATCTCATCGTTCCCTTCCATTCTGCTGTAAGCTCATTTGTTATTTTTAAGATTCTGGTTATTGTGTATATTAATTTTCTGATTATTGTGACTAATTACCACAAATGGGGTGACTTAAAATAACAGAGATTTATTCTCTCACAGATCTGGAGGCCAGAAGTTCAAAATCAAGATGTTTGTTGACTTTTCATTGTATTGATTGTTTTCTTTACTGTGTAAAAGCTTTTTCATTTGATGTAGTCTCATTTGTTTCTTTTTGCTTTTTAAAAATGTTTGCCTATGTTTTTGGTGTTGTTGCTAAGACCAATTTCAGGGAGCTTGTTCTCTCTTTTTTCTTCTGGGAGTTTTATGGTTTCAAGTTTTACATTTAAATTTTTGATGCATTTTGAGTTGATTTTTGTGTATACTGTAGGATATGTCCAATTTCATTATTTTGCAAGTGAACGTGTAGTTTTCCAAACACCATTTATTGAAGAGACTGTCCTTTCTTCATTGTGCATTCTGAGCCAAAATGAATTGACCCTATATACATGAGTTTTGGGGGGGAAGGCTTTCAGTTCTGTTCCATTTGTCTATATGTTTGTTTTTATGCCAATACTGCTTTGGTTAATATAGCTTTGGGATATAATTCAAAATCTGGAAATGTGATGCCTCCAACTTGTTATTTGTTTTTATGGTGGCCTTGTCTAGTCAGAGTCTTTTGTGGTTCCACATACATTTTGGTATGGGTTTTTCTATTTCCATGAAAATGCCATTGGAGTTTTGATAGGGATTTCCTTGAATCTGTAGGTCACTTTGGGTAGTATGGACATTTAAACAATATTAATTACAATAAGTCCTCTGCATATGAACAAGTTCCATTTGGAGATCACGTTCATTAGTCCAATTTGTTCATACATCCAACAAAGTTAGTCTAGGTACCCAACTAACACAATATAGTACAGTACTATAATAGGTTTATAATACTTTTCATGCAAATACTACATAAAAAACAAACATAAAAACAAAGAAACATTTAAATCTTACATGCATGCATGTGACAATGTATGCCAGGCACATGAACTAACTTATGTGGTGGGACATACAAATGCACATTCGCATCTTTGAAAGTTCACAGCTTGAAGGTCCATATATAGGGGACTTACTGTAGTCCAATCCATGAATACAGGACCTTTCCTCATTTATTTGTATCTTCTTCAATTTCTTTAATCAGTGAACAGATCTTTCACCTACTTGGTTACATTTTATTCCTAAGGATTTTATATATTTTTAATGTTATTGTAAATTTGATTGTTTTCTTATTTCCTTTTTGGATATTTCATTGTTGGTGTAAAAAAAATGCTACTGCTGGGTGAAGGAGTGAGACTCCAACTCAAAAAATAGATAAATAAAAAGAAATGCTACCGTATGTTGATTTTGTATCCTACAACTTTACTGAATTCCTTTATTAGTTCTAACAGTATTTTGGTGGAGTTTTTAGGGTGTTATACATATAGGACCACTTGGTTCTGTAAGCAGAGACAATTTTTTAGTTTATACAAGAGTACAATTTCATTCTTTTGCATGTGAAAATCTAGTTTTCCCAGCACTATTTGTTGAAAGAACTGTCCTGTCACCATTAAATGGTCCTGACACCCTTGTCACAAATCATTTGATCATATATGCCAAGATTTATTTCTGGGTTCTCTATTCCATGCCATAGGTCTGTATATCTATTTTTATGCCAGTTCCACATGTTTTGATTCTGTAACTTTGTGGTAAGTTTTGAAATCAGGAAGTGTAAGTCATCCAACTTTGTTCTTCATTTTAAAGATTGTTTGGGACTTTTGGCATTCCTTGAGATTCCATATGAATTTTAGAATGAATTTTTTTATTTCTGCAAAAACTGTCATTGGAATTTTAATAGGATTAAAATCTGTAAATGTGTAGAGCATGTTTGGAATAATAACACCTTAACAATATTAAGTCTTCCAATCCATGAACTGGTCACATTTTTAAATAGTCAGAATATAATGATGTATTATTTGTATAATGAAATATAAACAAGTTTTTAAAAAGAGTTGTTGACGAGGGAACTGGTGAATTTCTCATATCTTTCCATGTAACTTCACTGGATCTCAGTAAACAATTTTTAAAACTTGGAATCAGTTGCAGGGCAAAAACATAAAATTAGATATTATATTTCTCTAATCATTATCTGACTATAGGTGTTCATGAAAATAAAATACTTATGGCTTAATAAATTAAGCTGAAATTAAGTTAAATAATTTATTATTGACAAATAGACTTATTTAGACATTTAGTAATATTACCTGAACCCAGCTATACTTTCATCTGGCTTGTTTTGCTCACACTGAGATAAACTTTAGGCTCATTGATCAATAACCAGTTTTTCAACTCGCATTGCTTAAAATTGTGTCTCATTGAACAGAGAATATGTTGGATTTTATTTCCTGAAGATTATCTGTGAACATTTTAAGTCTTCAGAAAATATTGGAAAAGCTCTACTACTTCACATTGACATGCTTTTACAAAGAAAAGAAGAACTCCTTGCCAAAGAGAAGATTGAAGAAATCATTTTAGGTCAGTAGGATTTCTGCAGGTGTTTTAGAAAGGTATTAATCTGTATGTAACTCTAAGATGTCAGAGCAGTTCCAGAATCCTAAGGTTAACAGATTTCTCCCACATTTATTTATTTATTTATTTATTATATTTTACTTTAAAGATGTGGGGTACAATTCAGAATTAGTTATACAAATGGACATTGTACAGGTAAAGTTTGGGCCTCCCTTTGGTCCCCACTTTGCCTGGTTTTAGGCAAAAAAACAGGCAAATCAATAAAGATACCCTTATTGATGTTGTGCTCCCCCTCTCCCCAGCAGTATCCTACTACTGCTAATCCCTTTCTTACAGTATTATGGTAAATGTTCAGGGTCTGCTTATGAGTAAGAACATGTGGTACTCTGTTCTTTGTTACTCCTACATTTTTGTTTTTCTTCCTTAATGGTCTTTAACAGTGACGCCTCACCTGTCCTAATCCCACAAACTGGGCAAGCTGGAATAAGAAACTAAGCAAAAGATCACAAAACATCTACAAAAATAGACAAACCTCTGAGCTTAAAACTCATGTATAGTGGAAACTTGTGAGATTACAAGTCTAGTTTCATGTCTCCAGTTTGATCTTAAATTAGTTGTGTGCCTTTGGGCAAGTCAACATCTCTGGACCTTGGTTTTTTCAATTATAAAATGAAGACTGTGAACTAAATTCTTGGGGTTTTTTTAACTTCTTTTTAGCAGCAGCATCCTTTTGTGATGCAATTTTATATGAACCCCACCTTGAATAAAATTTATTAGAGTTTCTCTGGTTAAAGCAGATTGTAGAGCCAAATTTGTTCACCATTTTCCTAACCCTCTGCTTCTCTACAGAACCTCTATACCCTAAAGAGCACATATGGTATGATCCTTTTCTTAGAAAATGCTCTTTACCACCTCATCCTTCCAACTCTATGCATGTATAGAGCTATAACTGGAATGATAGTCACTAAACGTTAACACTGGGGTTTATTCTAGAAGGTGGCATTTTAGGTGATGTATTGCTTTCTTTTTTTTATACTTTATCATAAAGTGTGCACCATGTTTTTATAAAAACAAAGTCATTAATATTTTTTAAAGAAAGTTATTTGACTAGATGATTTCTAAGGGCCTTTTGAACTCTAGACTTTATGAAACGTTTCACTGATGACACCCTCCCTCCAGATCTTCACTAAGAGTCCACTTATTTTTAGACCCAGTTTTTTAAAAATTATAGAATCAGGGTCTCGCTGTGTTGTCCAGGCTGGTCTTTAACTCCTGGGCTCAAGCAATTCTCCCAAATCGACCTCTCAAAGTGCTGGGATTACAGGCATGAGCCATCATGGTTGGCCTAAATCTAGTACTGATAAGATTGGTTATCTGGTTTTCCTACTCTTAGCATTTTAATAGTAGCATATTACAAATAGAGAAAACAGTGGGACCTCATTAAACTGACAAGCTTCTGCAAAGCCAAAGAAACCATCAAGAGAGCAGGGTGACAGCCTACAGACTGGGAAAAAGTATTTGCCAACTCCAGGTCTGACAAAGGCTTAACATCTTGGATCTACAAGGAACTCAAACGTGCTGAAAAGAAAAAACAAACAACCCCATTATAAAATGGGCAAAAGATATGAACAGACACTTCTCAAAGGAAGACATCCGAGTAGCCAACAGACACATGAAAAAATGTTCAACCTCACTAATCATCAGGGAGTTGCAAATCAAAACCACACTGAGATACCACCTAACTCCAGTCAGAATGGCAATTATCAATAACTCAAAAAATAACAGTTGCTGGAGAGGATGTGGCAAAAAGGGAACACTTCTACACTGTTGGTGGGAGTGCAAACTAGTGCAACCTCTGTGGAAAACAGTATGGCGATTCCTAAAAGCTCTAAATATTGACCTCCCATATGACCCCGCAATCCCCCTACTGGGAATATACCCCGAAGAACTCAAATCACTCTATAAAAAAGATACCTGCACACGTATGTTTATTGCAGCATTGTTCACAATTACAAGAACCTGGAACCAACCATGCTGTCCATCAAAAGGGGACTGGATTAAAAAAATGTGGTACATATACACGATGGAATACTATGCAGCCATAAAAAAGAACAAAATCATGAATTTTGCAGCAACCTGGATGGAACTAGAGTCTATAATACTGAGTGACCTCTCACAGAAACAAAGATCTGAGTATCACATGTTCTCACTCATATAGTGGACCTTGAACATCCAACATAATACTATAAGAAAATGACTGACAGTGGTGGGAAACTATTGGGGGGAGGGGAAGGGAGATGGGATTAACAGTAGTAAAACTATGGGGATGGGGAGGCACCTCTTATCAACAAGGGTGCCTAAACAAAGCATATTTGTATACCTAACCCTTAACTATACCCCACAATATCATAATAAAAAATATTGATTAAAAAAAAGAAGACATTGAGACACTAAATAGACCAACAACAACCCAGGAAATTGACTCTGTTATACAAAAACTACCTACAAAAAAAGCCCTGGACCAGACGGCTTTCCAGCAGAATTCTACAAAACATATAAGGAGAAGCTGGTAACAATCCTATTGAAAGTATTCCAGGCAATTGAGAAAGATGGAATTCTCCCCAAATCATTTTACAAAGCTAACATCACACTGATACC